CGCTCAAACGCTATATCTAAGGATTTGCTAAATTACTCACTTGCTGAGTTCAGGCGCAGCGCATAGAGTAGACTGAAAAATCATAATGGGGTCCCTGAGCAGCCCTGGGGGTGGCAGACGAGGCACTCCGTCTTCTGATGTTAACTCTTCTATTATTAACATTTGTGCAAGGTATCAATTTTTGGGGTAAGACACAGAAAGATAAAAGGATTTTCAAAGACCACGCTGAGGAAAACAGAAGCTATTACCACGGTGCATTATTTTCCTGCTGCCCCTGTGGTGGCTTCGATGGGCTTCACCATTCGCAGGGACATCACAAACATTAAGCACTCTCACTTTCTCACTGCAAGCTCTACTGCCATTTTCAAGATGGGAACATTTGCTCAGTCTGGCTGCCTCATATCCTCCACTCTCGTCTGCGTTCCTGACACTGTCATGTTGGAAACATTTGCTTTGTCGTTTTCTGTTCTCGTTCCCTCTTTCTCTGCTCTTCCACTTTCTGTCCGCAGAACTTGTATTTCTCATCCTCTTCTCCAACTTGCAGACGTAGCTACATTTGTCAGTATCCATATGATAAAGAAAGAAAAACCCACAAAGTTCACTAAAACCTGACACTGGCAAAAGTACCGTAATTTTTGGACTATAAGGCGCACTTAAAATTCTTTAATTTTCTCCAAAATCGACAGTGACCCTTATAATCCAGTGTGCCTTATGTATTAATTTTAGTTGTGCTTACTGACCTCAAGCTGATTTAATGTGGTGCTTGACGCTCAAAAATCCGTCAAAATGAACTTGTTTTATTTAATGCAGCTTATGAGCCAGTGCACCTTTTAGTCCGAAAAATATGGCAATAAGAAAAAAAATTAATGAAAATCAACAAATGAAAACCGATCTTTTGAATGTTTGTTCAACTAAGAATGTTTTAGCAAACTCATGAAGCTGACCCTGTGATGGACTTGCAACTAGGCGTGTCACGATAACAAATTTTGCTGGGCGATTGTCTCAGAAATTATTGCGATAAACGATAATATTGTTTGACAATAATTATTAGTTATTGTCAAGTTTCAAATTTAAGAAGAAATGCTAGTTCATTTTTGTGTGTAGTACCTTTTTTCAACCACTGGATGGCAGTATAACACTGTTTGAACCGAAGGATGGATAGTGAAGGAGCGAGCAGCGTCTCTTTAAGAAAAATGGGAGGGAGGCCCCTTGACGTGACATGGGCTGTCTCTCATTCTTGTTTTCGGTTCTCATAATGGGGGACGTTCAATGTGGTTTGAGCTCTTTAGCATAGCATTTGTCACACAAAGCTTTTAATTTAAAAAAAAAAATCAGTAAACAACTTCTTAGCTTCTTTTCACAGAGAAAAAAAACTTTTTACATGAAGGCACGAGTTTCAACCATGAATTTTGGAGCTTCGACAAGACATGTTTTTTCCCCGAGGTCGGTCTGTTAGCTTAGCTCGTAGCTTAGCTTCACAGCTTAGTTGCTTTTAACGACCCAAAAAACACGATTTTGGACGGTTAAAACTGATTTTAAAGAGAAAAGAGAAAGGGGGAGGTCAGTGAAGAGCACCAGAGTTGAGCCTTTTCATCCAGTGTCTCCAGTAGAAAGAGAGAGACACAAGAAACGATAAAGCCAATAAATGAAAATGAGGTTGATAATTTTCATTTATCGTGCGATTTAATTGATTTATTGGTTATCGTGACAGGCCTACTTGCAACCTGTTCAGGGTATCTCCCGTCTCTCACACAGTGACTGCTACATATTTGCACCAGTGACCCCTGCCACTTGAAAAGGAAGAAGCAGGTAAGGATGGATGGATGGATGGATGGATGGATGGATGGATGGATGGATGGATGAAACTGGCCTTGACAAACCGAATGGTACTTCTATGAAGCTGAAACCATAGGGACATGTCAAACTAAGGTGTGCCCTGTAATCAGCATCACAGGTGTCATCTATCTTCCGTCAGTTTACCTGTTTAAAGGGTGACAGGTAGTCACTGTGCTGTTTGGTCTCATGGTGTGTATTACACTGAACACGGACAACAGAAAGCTCAGAGGAGAGTTTTCTGAAGAGCTTAAGTGTGGGATTGGTTTCCAGCCACACTCACTTTCTCCACAGCTGACACTCATTCTAATCAACCACCACTCCATACCTGCACCTGATCTGGAGGACTGCTCTGCTATAAAAGCTCCTGCCAGTTGTTCTTCCTACGCTGGGACATCACGATACCTTACGGTAAGTAACGGACAGTCTGTAAACTTGTTCCTGAACAGTTCTAGTAACCTTTGTTATCGTCTCCAGCAGCTTCCAAGTCTTGTTCCTCTAAGTCTTCCAAGACCTATGCAGGTGTGGCTGAGTGGTTAGAGCAGTCGTCCTCCAATGCAAGAGTTGGGGGTTTGATTCCACCAGCAGCCACATGCCGACGTGTCCCTGGGCAAGACACTGAACCCCTCATTGCCTCCGATGTGTGTCCCATCGGTGTGTGAATGTGGTAAAGCGCTGGTTATTCTTTGTAAAGATCTAGTAGAGTGCTGTATGAATGGGTAAAAGAGGGCACAGATTGTGATGTAAAGAACTTTGAGCGTCTTCATAAGATAGAAAGGTGCTTTATAAATACAGTCCATTTACCTCCTGGTTCCTTGTGAATTTGCTCTGGCATCTTCTTGTCCCTTCAACCATCAAAACATCAACGTGAATCAGCGACTACCAAACAACAACCTGCTCCTCTCTCCAATGATAGTCACCTCCTCTGGGGTCAACATTGTTTAAATATGTTGACAGGCATGTTACAAAGGTAAATAATCTCCAAGTATATATCTGCACAAATTACAGAAGTTTAAGGTCCACAAGCTCCTTGGACATGGCCACAGGAGCAAATTTATGAAAACTGAAGCAACGGATGAAACGAATAACAACAAAAGAGCCCAGAATGACTTTCAAAGACGACTGCTTATGACGAAATCAAAACACTGAACTAAGCATGCTTATGTGATGAATTTCTTAGTTTGAGAAACAAATTAATCACAAACCCCCTTTGAAAAATAAAACCATAAAGTTAAAGTGAATTGTTTTTATTTTTAAAATAGACCAGCTTTTCTATATTGTAACTGATTATTTTTAAGGTAAAAACAGAAAAGCTCATTTACTTCAACTTTACTATTTATTTATTATCAAAAGTAAGCCTTTAATTCATAAAAGCTTCATAAAGTTGGTCATAAAACTTTAGTTTTAAGGTAAATCTGAGAGAAAATCCCAATATTTGCCTGTATGTTGGAATATTGATCTGTTTTATGCTGTGTATTATTGCCGTCATGCACATATTTGCAAAAGCTGGGCAGGCGAGCTGCTAAAGCCTCTCGAGATGACACTTAATGAAACCAATGTTCATTTACACACGTGACCCTCGAGCCACAGGTGCACACGCCTGCATTAAAGGGAATATTGAGCATTGCAGTACAGTCATGTTTCAAACTAAGTCATTGACTTTAATTAGTGTCACAGGTGTCTTCAATCTTTTAATCAGGGAACAAACAAGGTAGCTTGGTATCATCGTGAGCCCCACGCTGAACATGGAGCAGCCAAAATCAAAGGCAGGAGCTGACTGGAGGTGTCTTGAAATACTCCAGGCAACTCCTCTGACCACAGCAGCCGTCATTATTAAACAGAGCAAGGTCCATGGGAGTTCAGCAGACTTCTCCCAGGATGTGGATGGAAGAGGACATGCAGGTTGATCAGATGGACAGTGAGAGTTGTAGACAACAACAAAATAAGCCCAACAACTTGAACCCCGAGGTCAAGGTATGTCACTTTCTGATGCACCATTTTGAATCATGAAGAACCAGGAGGGCTTCATTACTCACAGAAACACAAAGAACTGGATTTTGCCAGAAAGCATGAAGTTTTTGGGATTGACGAGACAAAACCGAAGCTGTTGGTCAGCCACTCCGGTTGTATCCGTAAACTTATCCGCCTCCCAGCACAGACAAAAGACAATGCAACACTCGCACTGGTTGTGTGAGGACCAAACTCTGCTATCTGTGTCTTTCTGTCCTCGTGCCATACATTCTATGACCTCAGCTTGGAAGGAGAAATGGAAAATGCAGCCCCAAAGTCTGCAGCATCATTACTCACAGCGGCTGTTAAAATGCAGCCCTGTAATGATGCGAGTACAGGGGACCAAACCACAGGGGGGGTGGATTTTAAATCAACACAAACGCGCTTTTTAAACCCCAACAAATACAGAAGCTATATTTGTTGCAGCTTTCTGTGTTAGAAGTGTTTGGGGGGCAGGAGTGCGTTTTTGCGCGTGGCCGCATGGTGGCAACCTGCGCTGCTCTGCCAGATCCAAACGTTACCTCATGAAGAACCCGGGACTGGTCCTCATCATCCGACACGCAGCACCAGCAGCCGGGCTCACCCCCCCTCCATCGCCGCGGCACGCTCCCACCACGCTCACAGCCACCGCGCGCAAGTTTCTCCCTCATCCTCCGCGCTCCGAACTGAACTTCTTCCAGTCTGCGCCGCCGTCAAACTGAACCGGCCGACCTTGACAGCGCACGGTGGAGAGGAACTTTACCACGGGGAGGGCGGCTGCTTTGGCTATCCGACGCTCCTTTTTCAGCTAAAGGGTTTCATTTTGGAGTGGCCGTCACTGTAAAGGGAAGCAGGAGTTGAAAGTGCGAGGAGAGGAGGCGGCATTGTGAGCTCCTGAAGATGGGACCAAAAGTGTCTGTCCTCACAGGTGCTGCATGACTGGACCTGACCTGGATTCATCGGACTGAGCGCGCGGTTCCGCTCCCACGGAGGATTTTCACCCCGTCAGAGAATTGTGTGGAACTTTAAAGTGGAACAAACAGAGCGCGCGATTTGCTCCAGGCTTCAGGAGCAGTTTTACGCGCTCAGCTCGGTGCGCACTGCCAGATAGAGTGGGGGGAGAGAGACCCACACAGGCGGACACCAGCAGGACCACACCGGGTCTCCGGCACCGGTACATGCCTGAAGCCCAGCGGGCACTTGTTGTCCAGCCTGCCCGGCTGCTTGGGGCGATGTTGGACTCCTGGAAGGGATTGATGTGGCGCGCCACATGGATTTTATTTCTCTCCGTTCTCATCCACTCCACACAAGCGCAAGGTAAGTAGACTGGTGTGTGTGTGTGTGTGTGTGTGTGTGTGTGAGGGGGGGGGGGGGCTCATTCATGTCCATTCATTGGGGTGTCCTGCACAGTTCTGGATATTTATGAAGGTTTTTCCTTTGAGGAGGCATCGATGGTTTCATTAATCTCTGCGTTTTTGTACATGCTATTTTCTTGTCTGCATCCCCCCCTCCCCCCCCCCCAAAAGCCTCTCCATTCAAGCAGTCTTTAAACTTCACCAGACCCAATTCTGTAAAAGCCCAGACAAATCCTTTTTTTATTTTATTTTTTTTATTCTAACACCTCTGTAGAACATCTGTAATGGGTGCCCCAGTTAAAAGCCAAGCTGTTTAATAAATGTTAAGCTGATTAATAAGTGCTAATTAATCAATCAGCCCTCCAAAACTTTGCTCGGTGAAGAAGCAGAGCACTGAATGCACACAGTGGCTCCACACGTTTTTAGGATACGCAGCTATTAGCGCGTTCACGTGCACGCAGAGTAAAGAAAAAGAGTAGGATTTTCTCAAAATGATGCAGCCTGAGCTGTGCAGAGAGCAGCAACACAGCCACGTGTGACAGTTTACAAGGATTTGCTGATGTTCTTTATCCTGATATATATATATATATATATATATATGTATAAATTGTTTTAAACTGGGTTTTTCTTGCCCAAATGTTCCAGAGAATGGAGCTTTGCTGGAACCATCACCAGCTGTCACATCCCTGCAAGGTGCTGTGTTTATCTGTTTCAAATGAAACTGTCTGAAATAACAAGTTACACTCGAAAGTAACGACTTCTGGGAAATGGATGTGTTGGAGGAATATTTATTCCAGAGAACAGGAGCATTTCATGCTCTGAATCGATCTAATTTGACCAAAACAGGGTTTATGTTGAGGCAAATTGTTCCAGACATTCAACTTTTAAATGATACCAGGTTCATGCGCAAGATAAAGAACAGTTTTAATAAAAGTCAAAACTTTGCAGATCATTGACGTCCTGATTTTCACTGAACGTGATCATTTGCAGAAATGCTTAGTACTTTTCAAGATTGTCCAGAATATTTTAGCTAACGCTTTTTTTAGTGTTTTTTTTTTTTTTTTTTTTTTTGACAGTTCAGAAGCTGTTTCAGAGATTTAAAAAAATATATGTTTTTATATTAAAAACACATTTTAATCACCCCAAAGATTGAGTTTGTTACTGAAGAAGTTTATATTACCATGACCATTTCAACACTTTGCTGCCCAACAAAAGGTATATATTGATGACTTAAGCTGGTTTGGTCTAAAGGAAGTTGACAACAGGAAGTAACAATCCATTGGTTTATTGGAAAAAGTCTATTTGCACCTAAAGGCAAATTTGGCAGGATTTGGTGGAGTAAAAGTTACTTTTTCCATGACTATTAATCAAATAAAAATCAAAAACTAGATGCCAAATGGAATTCTGGGTACTTTTTATGATTAATGCAGATTACCTTTCTTCCAATCCACTATTCAAATGTTTTTGTTTAATGGCTGACCCAGCCAAGAGCACACTTTCATTGTTTGGAACTATAGCGACAGATTTAATCTGCCAATATTGGCCACTCTTTAAAAAAAACAGCAATTGGCTGTTTGTGCATACTTAATCAATTACCAAGACAATCAGCCCACTTTTTATGGTATTCAATGTTTTTAACAAGGATGTTCTATGTGCACAGTTTACTATGGGTGGCTAAATAAATGCTTATGAAAGCTAAGCAGTTATTCAGTTTAGTTAAATGGAAAACACATTGATAAAAAAAAAAAAAAGAATTGATCTAGCATATCAACCATCGGCTGCCCTGAGTTCTTAAGATCTGCAACGACCAAAGAAAATCTCACCATTCGACCTGTAGCTGGAACGAAGCTTGCAGCTGAATCTGATTGTTACATTCATATATGCAGCAGAAGTCGAGCTAACACTTTGGGTCCTTGCGGTTCTGCAGACATGATATGACAGGCTAAAGAACACTCGGAGGACGTTTGCACAGACGCTGCATTGACTTGTTTGAAGCTACTGTACTTTGGGTGACACTGACATGACATGACGGATAAAAATAATACTTTTTTTTTTTGCTTTGCTTTCCTCTGCCTCACCATAACCACTCAGCTAGTTTGGATTCAGGTAGTGCTGCCACTGTGAGGGGACAGTATTACCTCTCGAGATAGACTCTAAGCTCTTGGTGGAGTTCACTCAATAATACAATGTAGGAAAAAAATATCCATCATTCATGAGGCCGTATTCTAGTCCCTGACATTTACAGGAGATTGATAACTGGTGAGTTAGGAGTCCTGCCATTATTGTTTTCTCCCACTCTATAACTGCATCTGCACTCACAGCTTGTATCTCCTGCTCTCTCCCCCCACACACAAATGCTTATTTAACCAAGCAAGCTGAATCAGAACGCATCATGTGACGAGGTGGCCTGGGGTGAAGGCTCTGTCTGTTTTTATTTATTTTTTTTAATTTTGGATGCCCACAGGCTCATAAAAGCAACATCCACGCGTGTGACGGTGCACGTTTAGCGACGAAGCACTGCCAATCACAATCACTCTCATCCTGTGCTCAGTCCATCCAGGCGCAGTCCTCAGATTCCATTACAGAGGCGCTCCTGGGTCAGATAATGTAGGATTTAATTGGACTCTCTTCAGACCATTCGGAGTACAGCTCGTTGAAAGTGACCCCAGTGTAGGCTGCTCTCTTTCCCGCTATGATTAAAGAACATGATGAGGCGAGAAGCGTGCCTCTAGCTGGACATGTCGGCTGCTGCTCACCACATTTTAATGACCAGCCTACTGAAACGGCTTTTTAACAACGGGCGGATGGCCTTCATCAGACCAAAGGGCTATGAAGTCCTGCTTCAGGGCTTGTTGAACTGAGAACGATGATCTTCGTTGCCTTAATGTTGTACCTTGTCATTCATCCTAATTGTGTACAGAGGAAAAGGAAAAAGACTCTGCATTGATAAATATACTTCAACACCGGTCTGGCTGATAGAAAATATATGGTACATTGGACGGTTTTGATGTTCATATCCCAAAAAACTCGTTTAGTTGCTGCCACACGTGTAGGCCATGTGTTTAGTCTTCAAATACGCAGAAGTCAACTTTTAAATATTTTTAGGTTTAAAGCGACTTTTAGTTCATTTACTGAAGTTATGCCAAATTGACACTGAACTCTCCTGCTGCTTTTGTCATTTCTTGCTAAGTCTAGTTTGAAACTTGGAACAGCAGGACAGGGGAGTTGCTGGGTGCTTCATTGCAATGTCAAGTTTGTCATACATATTTAATTCAGGGCTTGTTGTTTAGGCGGGTGACTGCGGCTCAACTATCGCTCGACATAAAAGGATAGTCTGGTCAGTTTTGAAACAATGCTCTGCCAAACGGTCATCGGTATTTGCTGCCTTATCCAAGGTTCTTTTTGTTGTTCACCATATGTGGTTCATGTGGTGGAATGAAATTATGTACACAGGGTCCCAGTTACATCCAACAATAAAATGTAAAAGAAAAACAAAGATAAGATCTAAAGTATGAACTAAAGAAAACATTAACTAAAAATACACTAAACCGTAGTAGTACAACAACAATACGCCGAACAGCAGCACAAACGTGAGCAGATGAGCACGCATGAACACAGCAACATGAAACCGATCAGCAGCAACATGAAACCGATCAGCAGCAACATGTGATTTGTTTCACAGTGATTATTCTGGTTAGATATTCATGAGTCCAACAGCCTCAGGGTAGAAGCTGTTCCTCAGTCTAGTGGTTCTACATTTAATGCTCCTTCACCTTCTTCCTGAGGGGAGTGGGGCAAAAAGTGTGTACTGGGTTAGTGGGGTCCTTCACGATGCAGGTGGCTCTCTTCCTGCATCTGGAGGTGTAGATGTCTGTGATGGTGGGGAGGCTGACTCCAACATCTTCTGTGCAGCCTTCACCACTCTCTGCAAAGCTTTTCTTTCTGCAGCTGTGCAGCCTCCATGCCACACGTTGATGCTGGAACACAGGATGCTCTCCACTGCACACCTGTAGAAGGAGGTGAGGACTGAGCTTTCCAGACCAGCTCGTCTCAGCCGCCTGAGGAAGTAGAGTCTCTGATGATCTTTCTTGATCAGGCTGGTGGTGTTGTTGCTCCATCCGAGGTTGTCATTCAGGTGCACACCCAAGTACTTGTAGCTGGAGACCACTTTATGAGCAAGGCCATCAGTACAAGAGCATGAAGAAACGGTAAGGCTAGGCTAATGGCTAGCAAAACAAAGGTCTTTTTTGTTTTACTAGCTTATAAAACAACTAAATATTTATTTATGTTTTATTTTTTATTATACAGATGTGAAATAATGTTGCATTCCATAGATGAGTAAACTTGGACTGCAGTTGAGAAAGTAATGACAAGTCAAACGCATTAAAAAAAAAGGTTTTATAATGGCTAATGTGGTGTTCTTTTACATTGATTTTATATTTTTGAAATGGTTTATAAGCCTGAAAAATAACTAAAAGTTCATTTGGCTAGCCATTAGCCTCGCCTAGATGAAGACTTCAACCTTTTTTTCTTCATACCATATGACCAATGTCATAGCTGGTAACATATTATTAATTGCAATGGTGTGCTGTGCATTTTACTCCAAGGTCTTTTAATGGTGTCCTGAATTTATCCACCTTTTGATTGCCATCATTATGATGCCACGGCTACAGAAATCCTCAATAATACACAGAAACATGGTATAAAGTGTTGCATCACAGACTGGTATCTCATGTAGCGAGAATGAAAGACATTACTGAAGCAAGAAACCCAATTACACAATCCAACAAGTTTCCTTCTACTGCACAGCTGCATTACATGCATATTTTACCAAAAACGTTAAGAAGAACATAATGACAAAAATATAAAACATTTGAATAAAATGCATTTTACTCACCAGAAGCTTGGATTATCTGTGCACAAACTCCATCCTTCTTTCTTTCCTCAAGAACAGCTCACTTA